TAATATTTTTTACTTTGATTAATGCTGAACAACTATCATGCCGTGAAATATTTTGAAAACCCAAATGAACAGCAATGTCATCAATAGATGCGAGTACTTGAAATAGACTATAAAAGTAATTTGTTAAAATATATTAAAAAAAAAACAAAACATTAATATTGATTACAAAAATCCAAGTGGATCTTCAAGTTCTTTTCTTGGTCCACGTGACTTATTTTGATATCCATCGATAAGACCATTCAATTGCACAAGAAGTAAATTTATCTAAAAAATCAAATATGTTTAAAAATAAATCTTTTCTTTTTTCTTGCATATACTTGATGCCAATATTCATCATTAGGATGCGTGTCAATTTGCATATAAATCCAATTAAGTTGAGTTAGAAAAAAATTTTTTAGCTTTCCACAAAAGTCTGTTCGATTAACACAAATATTAGTTATGGTATTTTGCCATTGCATACGAGTTAATTCTATAAAAACAAATATTGATTATTTAAAAATCAAAAATCAAATCTAACCTTGTGTAAATTGTCCTTCAAGTAACCCAGCTGAATAAACTTGATCAATATTTGTTTGGTTTTCTGCTGTTTTTATTTCTAATACGGACCAACCAGTTATATTGTAAGTTTGATCCCAAGATCCAGTTGCTAAAACATTATCAGAATTACCATCGGGTTCTTTATAAGAATCTGCTAATGTTGTCACTATTTCATATTTTCCATTGGTTTTTAAAATATGACCGCGGAATCGATGAAGAAATAGATCATCATTTGCTAATGCTAAAGTAAGCGTGCTAAACACAGCAAACACTAAACACTGAGCAAACATGTTTTAATTTGAATGAAAGAAAGTGAGTTGAATGTTAACTGTTGATATATAGATTGTTAGTGTAAATAGATAAGAACAGAAAGATTAGACTGCCATTCGAACTTTGCTCGAGTAGAGAAGACAGGTGACTGCACGAGTTTCGAAAACTTCAGAATACGATTGCTTTTCTAGTTATTCAATGTAAGCGATGAAAATATTTTCTAAACGTTCGAGACTCCGTTATGGATGAGTTTAAATTACACAATAAAATAGAAGGTTTGCAAAACTACTTTAGATTCTGCATGAGAATAGAAAAACCGTGGAACATTTCGCCTAATAGTGTTGAGGCATACCCAGTTCATTGATCAATACTACTGAACCAAATGAGTTCTGTTCAGTAACACAGAAGTCTACAGGGTTCTGCCTGAGAGTATTGAACCTTACGCATTCCTCTCATCAATGATAACCGCAAGATTGTTATTTGTTTTATTTATTTGAAATGTGAAGATGGAATGAATTTGTTTTCTACTCATTTAATTGATTAAACTTGTTTAGTTGTCATTTGTTTCTTACAATGGAGGTATGTGTACTGTAACATAGCTCCACAATGCATTTTCATATCAAATTAGAGCGCTCACTGCCAAACTCCCAAATTCAAAATATGACATGCTGACGAAAGACTTAGATCCGAAATAGTCGAATTACAAGACATATACAGGATGCGTAAAAATGTTTTTCCAAAGGATAACACTATGATTTCAAATAGCATACATAACTATTTTAATACCAAATAAAAGCGCGTCACAAATGGGATTTATTGGTACTAAATAGTAAGAGTTACCAAGCCCTTCTAATATCGAACATAGGAAATTTTCCGAAATTTGATGCTTCTTTGACATAGAAAAATCGAGGCGCTACTTATTCAAACATAGATTAAAATATTTTCTTTTGATATTTTTACATGGTTTGATAGAGCTCGTCGAGCTCTACAAAACTATATTTATTAAAACTTTCTTGAGCAATTTTTCTGTGTTTAAAAGTTTAAAAAACCACTTGGAAAATCCTTAAAATAATGTCAAATAACTTACTTTTTATGAAAAAGCAGCCGTGGCCGGTTTTGTCCTTGCTTAAGGAACTCATTAGACGGCATGTCCAAATTCGTCATTATCAATTAATGATAATAACGAAACTGTTTAATCTATCCCTATCAAAGATAGAGAAGACACAGTGTTAAGTATGGATATTTAGTATGAACAAGCAGCCGTCTGATGAGTCCCTTAAGCAAGGACGAAACCGGTCATGGCTGCTTATTCATATTGATAATTTTGCTCGTTTTTTTCTTGATGAGAATAATCAACGGAAATTCGATGGATTAATTAGAAATAAAAACAATCAATTTCTTATTTTTAAATATTTTTGATTTTGTTATCATTATGTTGGACCATTGATCTATCATTATTAAGGGTTCCCCACCTCAAGAATGTACTATAACTTCTGATGGACCGATTGAACTGAAATTTTCCGTGCATGTTGGTTACGTGTAGAAAGAATTTTCATCAACTTTTCATCCAATCAAAGTTTTTTGTTTGGAAGAAAAATAGCCGAGAGGGTGTGGGTGTGGATGTTCCTTTTGTCTTTAATCACATACACCCACATCCACACCCTATCGAACAGAATCCCTAACTCCTTTATTGCATATATGACTAAAAAAACAATACTTATACTAAATAAAATCCTAATCCTACTAAATTCTTTGTACTAAAATTACTCGTCAGCATTTTGACGAAAACTTTTGTTTACTAAGAAGTCTCTTGATGTTCCAAAACTTAGTTGTAATCAAGTAAATTTTTAAGATAAGTGATGATGAATGTTTGAGCAGCAATTGACATGCGTCATACGTAAATTGAAATCACTATTTCGTAAACACACTTATATCGTCGCCATAAATTCAAAGGCAAGTTATTGCATGTTCTTTCGCAACACTTACAAGATGAGTCAGCGAACTATTTGTTTTTGTTTCTTTCTCAATATTTTTGTTGAATTGAAAACGTGAGCATTTGCTTTTTTTTTTCTTTATTCTATATGCTGACATATGACGCATTAAGTATTCTTATTCGATACATACATATAGTCGTAACGTTAAGCTGAAAACAAATACGTTATACTTGTAGATTTCGCGAACCACGACTCATGCCTGCTAAAAAGAAATCTTTACTTGAAACATTACCTGTCGAGCTTGTTCATCGAATTTTCGATGACATCAATACAGAAACAATTGTTTTCTCAATTCGGTACGTATGCAAACGACTCTATTCCATTACTAATACCTACAATCGCTTTGATCTGGACTTTCGTTATATGTCAAAAACTGACCTGCCTTCCATGGCACATATTATTGATCCGAAAAATGTTATTTCACTTACACTTTCAGATGAAATACAAACACCAGGTCAAATTCGATCATTTCTTAATCATTTTCATATTGATCAATTCATTCGACTACGTTCATTGAATCTTATTAAAGTTGAATCCAAAGATTTGAATACATTTCAAAAACATATCGTCAACTGTCCCCTTACAACATTCTCAGTTGCGCCTCATGTATATTGTAAAGACGGTCCAACAGAATTTATATCATCTATTATATTGCATAATGATCTTCGTAAATTCGAATATACAGGATATTGTAATATTTTCAATAAAATACAATTACCCATTCAATGTAGGTTGAACCACTTAACAATTAGTCATTCCAATTGGCATACAATTTATTCTATTATTTTCTACTTACCTAATCTTCAAACACTTGTTGTAAAAAGTGTTATGTACAATCGATTCGATCCGGCTACTTTTACATATCCTGATCTTTCACAGTCAAATCATTTAATTTCGCTCTCGTTAAACTTCAATTCTGACATACCAATGAATGATGTTGAATCAGTTCTTACATTTTTACCTATGCTAACACATCTTCGACTGATTAGCGAGAGACCTTTAACTGATCTTCAATTGTTTAATGGTTTTCGATGGGAGAATTTCATTCAGACAAAATTATCTCTATTGAACAAGTTTGAATTCTGGCTCACTTGTCTTGCACGCACTGATGCAAATTGTATTAATGTAAAATCATTGATTGAACCATTTCGAACATCATTCTGGCTTGAAATCAAACATTGGCTTATCAAATGTGACTATGAGCACGATAAATATGATCCGAAATTCCATCTCTATTCGATACCAATCGCGAGAGATAATTTTAATTTCTCTGAAGAACGAAGTACAATTCTACATTCCACGTTTAACACTGCTGACAACAATGCAACAACTATCGTCAATGCGAGTAAATTATCTTTGAACTTAAGCCAAATGATGACTGAAAACATTTCAAAAATAGTAAGTATTATCTTACATATTCATATCAGTTATTTCTTTCTGAACAAGTAATTCCTCGAACAGAAATATGGTAGTTTATTATTTGAGTCTAATAATAAATTTTCTACATATTTTTCTTAGAATTGTATTGACTGTATGTTAAGAAAATGGTGCAATTCAAACAAAAATAAATTACTACTATGTAGTATTTCGGTTCCCATGGATTCAGAATAAGAAAAGTGTAATCACTAAGATAGATAGAACTCTAATAACAAAATAAAAAGTCTGCTAAATCCGACAATATTGAAAAAAAGCTATTAGCACAATTTCTACGAAATTAAAATGTGAAGTATGATGTACCTATAGTTACTAATCTTCTAAAACTCATTTTGTAGTATAGAAGTTCAACAAGGAAATGCTTTTATTCTCAATCTTTGGTTTATTTTGACTATGTTGTCTTGCAAAATAAACCAAAATGAGAAAAGTAATATGTTATCAAAGATCATGAAATCTAGCGACTCAAAATCAGTGTCAAACCATTTAAACATCCCTTTTCAATATTCTGTCTTAACTATTCTTCGGTAAGTAGATACGAATTCTTACATCTATACATCAATTTCAGATAGATATTATTCGACCTTGCAATTCAGTTTAGCGGTGATGTTCATATATATTTTGTGTAGATCAATTATTTCATTGGGCAGAACTAAATCGAAAACTTTTCTATAGAAATCTCAAAAACTATTTGTTTTTGACATTCTAAATAAACGCGAGAAGTTTTTGCTTTTAAAATAAAATTGTTCGAATTCAATATTAGCCTTTCTTAAACTAATTTGTTTCATAGTTCAATTTTCTACAACCTTATGCATTTTTGTTTAGAGATTGATCCAATAATGACATATCTATGTCCAAATGTCACCGAACTTACATTTACGATTAATGAAAAATGGTATTTAAGCTCAACGAAACGTCTAAGTAAAATTATTAATCTATTAAATCTTCAAACATTATGGTTAGATTTTCGGTGCGAATGTAAGTTTGCTGTAAATTTGCATACTGAAATGAATACTCTATTGAAACGAGCATTGAATCTTCGTTCACTTCGAATAAGGTGCAACAAATCTGAGAGAATGAAGATGATAACTCTTAATGCTATCTGTTTAAATTTACCTCATCATATCAAACATCTTGATACTGATATTACGCATCTGACCGACGCAAAAAGAATATTGGAGCGAGCTGAACACTTATCAAGTGTTACATTTCGAACAAGTAATCCATGGCATTTTGCTCATGAAATTGATATATGGCTCTGGCAAATGAAAAGAAATGTTGCATATCAAGTGGAATCGATCCCATTGGGACGTTATGACAACTTTGATCCGATCGATTCAGTACACTTATGGCTTGACAACACCAAGAATAAGCAGTCAAATGTATCTGTTAATCACAAACGTGTCAAGCGAGCCCATCACTCACATTATTCATAATTTGTTGATTTCATTTATTTTGATCGGTCTTGATTTCAAATATTCATTGGCATGCCAAAAAAAACTCTTTTAACAATATATATATTTACAAAATTTGTAATTCGAGTACGTTTTAAAAAAAAGATTTAGATTGAAAACCAATATATATATGTCTGTTGA